AGGGAGCCCGATGCGGGACTCGATCCCGGGACTCCAGGATCATGACCTGAGCCGAAGGCAGTCGCTTAACCAACTGAGCCACCCAGGCGCCCACCCATATTAAGTTTCTAATTAAATTACCTACCTGTAATGATATGAATGTAGGAAACAACCTATAATTTTGTATTTTTTCTGGATTGGGAAAAATGTGTCTACCTTAAATTTTAATAAAAGGGTAGGATGTAGAAGACCGCTTTGGGGGAGATACTCTAAACATTTAAGAATGAAAAACATGTTTTAAATGTAGAGTTTGCGTAAATAGCAAAATTGCATGTATTGAAATATTTTCCCCTTGTATTACATTCCTTCAAAGTACATTTCCTTACTAGGTTGTGATAATTTAAACCTCACTACTATGATAGTTTTGTGTACTAAATTGGAAAGGTATTTTATGTTGTCACTGTGGGTTGGGTGACTGTAGTAGTTTCATATTAATATTTAATATTAATGCATTGAGGCAGGAATTAAGATAAAAGCTTAAAACATACTCCTCACCACCACCCCACCCCCCCCGCCTCCTTGGACCAGAGGTAGTGTTGGTTCATTTTTCTCTGTAGTGCAGGTTAATTCAGTCATTCTCCCTTATCTGCAGGGGATACCTTCCCAGACCCCCAGTGGATGCCTGAAACTGCCGATCATATCCATCCCGATATATACTATTTTTTCTTATACATACATATACCCATGATAAACTTTAACTTATAAATTAGACATAGTAAGAGATTAATAATACTAGAACAATTACAGTATACTACTGTAATAAAAGTTATGTGAAAGTGGTCTCTCTCAAAATTATCTTATTGTCCTGTATTCATCCTTGTTCTTGTGATGATGGGAAATAAAATGGCTGATGTCTGCGTGATGAGATAAAGTGAAGGAATGAATGACCTACGCATCGTGACATGGCGTTAGGCTGCTAGTGACCTTCCCGCAGTATGCCAGAAGGATCATGGGCCTTCCTGAAAGTCTTCTAGGATTAGCTGTTGCCAAGACAAATCCTCAGACCTGTTGTCCAGAGAGATGTTTTTTCCCACGGTGAAATGCACTTCCCTAAAAACTAGAATTTGAATCCAACAGTTCCTTATTTGAGATGTCTGCTTCTCAAGACCACTCCCAGATTTAGTGATTCAGTAGGAGGACACATGGGACTCGGCACACAGTTGTACCCAGGCTAAGATTTATTCTACTGAAAGGATACAGTAACATCAGCAAAGGGAAAAGACACATGGCACAAAATCCAGAGAAAAGCAGGTAGAAGATTCCAAGAGTCTTTCTCTTTGAAATCATAGGACAAGCTGTAATTCCTTAAGACGTGCAAGGTGCTGTCTGCTGGGGAAGCTTGCTAGAGCACCCGTGTCCGGGGCATTCATGAGGGGTTGGTCAGCCAGGCACCTTCTGCCCTGCTAGCACTCAGATTCCCAGAAAGAAAGACGATGTGTAACGTAAACCACATTGTCTGTACAAACATTGAGGCACAGTGAGCCATTCTTACCAGGAAATGGTGGGAACGCTCCTGAAGGCCGTCTTCTGATCTGCCAGCCAGGACCAACCTTGCCAGGAGGCCTTTCTAAGGGTAACAGTCTCAGGCTTGCTACGTTGACTCTTTTCTACATGACTTAGATATCCTGATGCCTTGTGTTCTAGATAGTATTCTAAAATAAGGCAAAAACTGTAATATGGATTGTTACCAGACTTCCCATATCAGGACAATGTCATCTGCTTTGATCGATAGCTTAAAAACAGTAGGTTTGTAATAGTTCCTTTTGAAACCCCTAGATGACTTAGACATTCTGATTGCTGATGGTTCTTCTTGCTCCCTTTCTAAGCCTCTGATTCTTCTGAATTGTGGACCTGTAGCTGACCATGCAGATTTTCTTTGCCACATTCTTATTTTCCTATGTAACGATCAGTTCAGTCGTAGTGATGGAAAGACTGCTTTGTATAAAGTACGGATATGAAGGTGTGGCGGTGGGAAGATGGGCGAATAAACAGCAGTGAGTTTTATTGAATGGGAGTAAAAAGCTACCTAAATTCAGCCTTCATTAGGCCTTTTGTAAGTTGGCTAACAAAATCATCACCGTCCCTCTTAGGCTCTTAGCAATAATGGCAAAAGAGTGAAGGGGCTGAGATGGTGACTTGAGTATCAATCTTACAGGATAAGTAGAGTTTATAAATTCCAGTTCCTTTAACAGCATTATCTTAAACATTTTGACAGCTATTCAGGATTATGAAACTGCGCAGGAACACAATGAAAATGATCAGCAGATTCGGGAAGGTCTAGAGAAGGCACAGAGGCTATTGAAACAGTCGCAGAAACGAGATTATTATAAAATCTTAGGAGTAAAAAGGTGAGTTATTTAAAATTTACATTGTTATTTTTAATGAACTGTTTTAAAGCTTATCATTGCTCTTTTTTCTCCTTTGATTCGGTTCCTTGCTTTATGTAATTTCAGTCCAGGATTAAACCTAAGCATCTTTCACATCGTAACCATCATTTTGTTACAGGTAGATTTCTTTAGACTAGTTCTGAAACGATGGGGGAATAAGTAGTTGGTGACAGAGGGATGACAATGTAGCATGAGTAGGCCCTAGCCCAGATTTTTTGGGAAGGGTAAAGAGGAGTGAGCTTTCTTTTGGTGGGGACAGGAGGGTTTTGGAAAAGCAAACTTCTCTAGGCACTTTGAGAATTAACTTACAGGCACTGAGATAGACAAAAGCTGGGTAAATTATACAAGATCCACCTTCCCTGAGCAAGGGAACCATCCATCTTTCAATCAAAAGTCTGAACCAGAACTAAGGAAGCTAACCAGAAGCAAAACAGGAAGTGTGGTTCAGAGTCAGAGTTAGCTCTTAATGCCAAGAATTGTATCAGGTAGTTTGGAAATCCAGAAAGTTTAAAAATGGGTCTGTGCAGCTTTCTCTTTTTTTTTAAAAAGAGAAAAAGATCACAAAGATCAAAAGTAATTTCTTCCCATTGAGATTCTGAAGCCTGACCAGCTTTAATGATCACCTAGAACCGGACAACATTGGCACGGTTAGGAAAACCAGGCTGCTGATTTGCCAGGGGGATCATAACTGTCTCTCAGTTTTTGGGGGTGGTATGTCGGGCACTTTTTGACTAATGAGCGTTAATTTTAATACTACTCAGAAACGCCAAAAAGCAAGAAATCATTAAAGCATACAGAAAACTAGCACTGCAGTGGCACCCAGATAACTTCCAGAATGAAGAAGAAAAGAAAAAAGCGGAGAAAAAGTTCATTGACATAGCAGCTGCTAAAGAAGTTCTCTCTGATCCAGGTATTGTTTGTCTCTCGAAGTGGCTGAGTCAGTGGTTGGTGACTTACTAGCTCTGTTCCCAGTGTCACACGTGGGCGGTGGCCAAGCTGCCCCCCCGGAGCTGGGGTCTGCTCCCCAGCCTGGCAGTTCCAGAAGTCCAGTTTCAGGCCTGCCCCTGCCAGACTCGGCCCCCGTGGGCCCGGCGCAGTGGGAAGACCAGCAAACACGGAAGCAGGAAGCCTGGTTCGACTCCTCTCTTCTGCACAAGTGACTAGGGCTTGTTGAGTCTCAAGAGTCTCAGCTCTTCCACCTGCGACAGCAAAGCACAACAGTGAGGGGAAGGTTTCAGGTTCCTCCCCCCGCCCCCCGACCAATGATGAACTCTTCATACTAAACTTGTAGGAGCGTGATTAGGAAACCGGGGCACCAGGATGGAACGTACTAGCCTGGGGCTGCTTATCCTGTGTTCCTCAGGAATCTTGCCCTAAGTCAAATGTTCATTAGATTTTCTGGTTGCTGGAAATGCTTTTATCATATGCTAAAATGGCCTGGAAAATGAGAGAGAAGGCAAGGAAATTAGGTAATAGTGAACAATGTTTAGAGATTTGCAGAGGGAATTGAATATTAAGCTAATAACTACTCCTTCTTTACGTCTTTCCATGTCGGCAGGAGCTAGGACTAGGGCTAGACAAATTCATCAGAAATAGAAGGAAATGACATTTTATGCCCATTTGGCAAGTCTTTTTTGAACATCTGCTTCTGCTATGGAAGCGAAGCTTTATGAGCCTCTGTGCTCATTTATGATCCTGCAAGAGAGGTAGAGCTGTACTTACGGAGTACAGCAGGATGCTCTGTTCTTTTACTCAGCAGCTGAGGGCCGGCAGCCCCTTGGTCTGTCCTCCGAGCTTGCCCCGTGCACGCGGGAGGGGGGCGGGCACAGAGGCATCAGGAACTGCGGTTGCCATTACTAAGGGTTCTTTTGTGTTCTGTTGCTTTTTCTTAGCCCCTGTTCTTATTTTAAGGATGAAATAGTTCTTTTGGTCTCTGAGGATGTTAGTCTGCTCTCCTGCCCGCCTGCCCCCCCCCCCCCCCGGAAGTGTTCCTCTGTCCCATTTGTTGGCATTAGTCTCGGTCTCATCGGAGACCTTCCTCAGGACCGCTGGGCATGGCAGTGGGGGTGGCCTCCTGAGCTGTACGCCAGGGAACCTTAGTTCTGCTCGGATCTAAGACGGAGGCCCAGAAAGATGCTTGGAGTGTTGGCGACGTTGGGACTGCATTGCTGGGGCCAGGATGGTGACATGGCTTTTTGAGTGGGGACTTTTGGAGGTCTCCTCCTCTGCAATTATTTTTTTTCAGAGAAGAATTTCCTTGGGTAGATGCTTGTGAGGTGAGAAGATTCAGGGGGCCTGAATTTCAATGAATTCCCATTGTCAGCCCTGAACATGAACCCCTTCTCCGTGATGGGTCCCCTCTAGGACCTTTCTCCTGAGACCAAACCTCGGCGCTGGGTGGGAACGGGATGTGTATCAGGCACAACTGTTTGGATAAGAGGAGAGGAAGCCTCCCCCTCCCCGTGCTTAGTGAATACCTGGGTCTTAATTTGCTCGTTTCGTTCCTAGAAATGAGGAAGAAGTTTGATGACGGAGAAGATCCGCTGGATGCAGAGAGCCAACAAGGAGGTGGTGGAAGCCCTTTCCACAGGAGCTGGAACTCATGGCAGGGGTTCAATCCCTTCAGCTCAGGCGGACCTTTTAGATTTAAATTCCACTTCAATTAAACCAGCTGTTTTTCTGCTCTTCTTCCTTAAGTTTTTTAAAGATTAAATACAAAGAAACCTTGTTCCAGGATCCTAATGAAAAAAAAAATTCAAATCTTTTAGTTTGTCCATGACCAAAGAGTTGTTTTAATAGGAAAAATCGTCTATCCCTTTTAGACTGGAGGTTGATGGGTCCTTGGAGGCAGGGAGGCGAAGACCGGGTCTATCTCTGACAAAGCAGCCCATGTAAGTGTTTGGAGGGCCTGGAAGAAGGGTCTGCGGGAGCGCCCCTGCGGCAGGGCTCCCGCGTGTGCCCGCACTGGAGCCCGCCGAGACTCTTCTTCCCGGCCTTGCAGAGGGCAGCAGTGCCCGCGTGGGTAAGAAGGAGCCAGGAGCCTCATGAGAAGGGGTTGTGTTTTAGGATTCTTAAAGAGAATATCAACATTTTGAGTTGTACGTTCTTAGGGACACCCTTGCTTAGGTTCTGCTCAGTCCAGTTGCTTGCCAATACCTGTTAAATTACAGAGCCTCGGCCAGTCCACATGCGTTTCCCTCTCTCTGCTGGCGTGAGCAGAGTCTGGATGGATGTGAAGCATGTATTTTATGTCTGGTACGTGCAAGAGAACACAGAAGACCACAGACATAGAATTAACCGTAAAAACATATGGGCCCTTTTGTTTAATAACGTGAAACAAATTAAAAGAGAATATGTAACACCGGTTCAGATAATAGAGCAGTGGTGTCACTTAAAATAAGCTTGAAGTACAGAATGTAGTACTTTAAGAACTGAAGTTGTGAGTTATACAGAATTTCCTGTAACAGGACTGCCTTAGAAATGTAAAGTTGCTCAGTTGACAGAGAATGCCATGTTCCCCATTTTTAATAAAGGCAGTGGGGCAGCTTCTCGTCCATCCTGACCGACCCTCTTGAACTGTAGTCCCCCCACCCCCCCATGTGGGACTGTCTGAGGCAGGCGTTAGACAGGAGACCTGCCCCTTGACCCGACCCTGATGCCTCTGGATGTTCTCCTGCCTAGAAAAAAAATACATGTTTACAAATCTAGTCAGCTCTGGCTATATTTCCACCATCGTGATGGCTCTCTTCTTGGGATACCTTCTTACCTTTTAAGAAATGAACTTATTCAGTCTTTGTATACTGGATAATTTTTTCCTTAAAAACTGTTACTTTAATCAAGAACATTAAATATTTATGGAACTATTGATGCTGCATTTAAACTCTAATTACTTTTTAGATAAGAATTACTACCTTCATTCTGGAAAGGTTTTTTGTTTTGGCCTCAGAGCATTTTGATGAGTATGGGTCTAATATGTTGTTTTTATGAAATCAGGCATTTTAATTTTAATGGCGGGAGGTGTCCTGACCATAGCAGCCAAGTACAGGGCCTTTCCTTCCGCAGTCATCCTGAAACAGACGGGGAGATTTCCTTAAATGGAGGGGCAAAAATCACATAGTTGAGCTGAGCAAAACACCTGTGTGCTTTTTGCATCTATTTAGAAGTCTGTTTCTTACCAATAAACTTAATGCATTTTGAAAATTAGTGAATAGTTCGCAGCTTTCCTTTCGTTTTAAGGTCTCAGAATTCAAGTCAGTGCTGAAAGGATTTCCAAGGGAAATTCCGTTTTGTTTATTCTTTCATCTTCGTAAGTTCATGACTGCATTAGATCAGCACTGTTTGCCAGTCTGGTTCTTTGGTACATGAGGTCACTGTGACCGTTTTGCGATCTAGCAATGGCCTCTACCTACTTTTAAAGTAAGAATTTTCACACAGAATCAGACCGAGGAAATAGGAAATCACTTGCCTTTCCGCTCAGAGAAGACGAGAAGTCGCCCCAAGGAGCCGGAGGGAGTCAGGACGGTGGCGGGCTGGCCGGTGGGTGACGCGTCCGGGTGCTGCCCACACGGCTGTTGGCGGGCTCTGTCCACACTGGCGGTAACTGTAAGTCCCGTTCCTGAGATTTTACCGTGGGTTCAGTTTCGTCACCGTAACTGAAATGCGCAGCTACTTGCTGGTCTTCAGTGGAGAGAGGGGAGCGACGGGGCCAAGTGCCAGCGCCACAGAGACACTCGAGGACAGTGCGGCCTGTGACTGTGCGCCCCGCCTTGACGCGCCGCCGACAGAAGCTGCGCCCCGCCGGCCTGCTGGGCGGCGTCCTCCCGCTCCGGAGAGCTCAGGACTGAACGTTTGACTTGCTCGCGGCTTCCTTCTCCTTGCCAGTCTCCTGGCTCTTGTTTCGGGGCCTGTAGCTGCCCGGTAACCGTCACGGCTGTTTCCGGAAAAGTAAAATCACAGGGCTACCTAGCCTTAGCTGTATTAGACTCCTGTCTTAAACTCCTTCCTTCCTTTTTGGTAAGCTCCTGAAATGAAGGAGCCCTTGTCTGTATATTGTGGATATTTTCCACAGCAGCATTAAACACATCAGCCTATAAACATGAGACGATTCTAAAAAGAATAAATTTATTGCCCATTTTTGAAACTGTGCTTTCTTAGCATGGATAAATGAAAACTTGAAAACGAAAACTAATAGTTTACTACTGTGAATTGGATGGATGTAATGCTAACTTTAAAATATCTTTAGTCAGTATTAAAAATTTATCTTAAAGACCAGTATGAAAACAACTTTTTGGGACTCTGATAATGGAATGTAAAAACTCCCCATAGTTTGTTTTTTTAAGGGAAAAATACTGATAACCAAGTATGAAAAAAGTTAATAGACTCACAATTTGAAATTGGCAGCATTTCCTATTCATGGTGGAAAATGGAAGATTTCACTTGAAAGGCATGAAATGGGTCAGAAGTTGTGACCTTTACTATGGAAAAAATGCATAAGATGGCTTACGTTGAAACCGGTTCCTCAGGTTGGGTTAGAGCTGCCTGCCTTCAAGCACAGGGTGCCGGCAATGGGCCCTGCAAAGGCTCTGAGTACCGTGCGTGGTGTGACCTGGAGAAATTCATGCAACTTCATTGAATGTAGTAGACTTTCCCATATTTATAAAGGAAGGAGGAAGGCAAATGCTAATTTGTCAACAAATACTATCCTTATTCTAAATCAGATCATTCCTTTTGTTAGTAGCAGAGTCTGTTCTGCAATTGCAAAAGATGTTAATAGGTGGGGACTTTTTTTTCATGGATGATCTCATTTGCTGAATGATTTAAGAGAACAGTTAGCCACCGCGTGGCTTTATGTATAGTTGACAGGTGTTGCACTCATCCGCGGTGACCTCTTGCCTGCAGCGGAAAGCAGTTGGAGGAGGGAAGACGTGGAGATGTTTGAGCAGTTAAAACTACTCCTACTGTAAGGCTATTGCTGGTTCTGAGACAAGACTAATTTAATCCATCTCAATTTAGTGTTTTAATAAAAAAAGAAACTGAAAATTAATTGAAATGGATCTCAGATATGTCTGCAAATATGGGTACTATTTTTATGCCCGTGTATTTTCACATTTAATAAAAATATTTATGGTCAAATCAGTATTTTCTTGCTTTCGATTCATGAGAAGTCTACCTTCCAACTTGGCTTTGCATGTAGTCCGGAGCTGGGGTGACGGGAGGGCGGCCCGTGTGTGTGGAGCTGAAGGAAAGTCCGAGCACGAAAAGCAGAAATGGTTAAAACCTCTTAACCCCAGAAGTCCTAGCACAGCTAGGACTTTCAGTGGACAGTTCTTTGGTTTCAGTATTATTAAAATCTAGTATTTAAATTGGCTTTGTTTGAAGCCTTTGGTTTTTATACCATACTTTGCACATTTCTGTAAAAGTCTTTAAAAGGGGTTTGCTTGGGGTGGGGGGAATGCGGTTTATCTCGATCAGAGTTCTTTTTTCTTTTTAAGTAATCTCTACACCCAACATGGGGCTTGAACTCACAACCCCGAGACCAAGAGTCACATGTTCTACCGACTGAGCCAGCCAGGCACCCTGTCACAGATTTCTAACTACAAACCCAAGCAGCTTTCTTCTCAAGTATTCCACACACCCTAAAATTAAAGGACTAGAACACTTATATTTAGAACCTTCCCAGAAAGTGCAGTTTCCAAATTCTTAATAATGCTGTCTTTGCAATATATGAGCACTCAGCCTCTGTCTGAGGCTATGAAAGTCCTCCCAGGCATGAGCGCTGCCAGAAGAGGGAGGGCAGATCCATTTTCTCTTCCCAGATCCTCAGGATTCTTCTTGGTGTGAAAGATGCTTTAAAGATAGCAAAGGATAGCTCTTCTAAGCGACATTTCACCATGTTTTTTCTTAGGATTTTATTAACTCTCCCTATCACCTGTTGCAGTGTTTTGTTTCCTGTGGTTTAATGCCTTTTATCACCTCAAGTTCATAGGACCTCACGAGAGTGGAAATTGTACAATTTTAGTGCAAACAAAACAGCATGTCTTCCTCCTACTGGATGCCCTCTGCTACGCTAACGGGGGGGGCGGCGTGGGCCATGGCCTTTACAGCAGGCCAGCTTTATGATGGACGCTGTGCGGCGAAGAAACACGGCATCGCCAAATCCCAGATCGGCCTGTTTGTCCTGGTGTCCAAGAGCTGTGGCCCAACAGACCGCTGTAGAACACACACTCAGCATGAACAGGACCCTCAGGAAACAGTGCAGGCGGAGAGATCCGGAGAGAGCCCCGCCGAGCTATCCTGGGCAAGTGTTAGCAGATGCCAAAGCCCATCCCCGCACTTTGGGCCCAGAGCGCCAAACTCCCCCGTGGGACCCTGTGCCTCCCCGCCTCCCCAACCCTCCTCCTCCTCCCCCTCTGGCTAGCAGGCTTCTCCCACCTCCTTTCATCCCCAGTGTCACCACCTGACACTTTCCCCTCCATAACCTTTTCATTTGGGTATTTATTTAATGCCATTTATTCTGATCTGGTAAATTCAAAAGGACACATAGTAGATACTTAGTCACTGGATTGGTCCAGGTTATATGAAGACTTCTATTTTAGCCTTCCTCAGAGGAAGCCTTTTAGAAACATTTTCTGGTAGCTGCCGACTGTGGGAAGACAGAGGAAAAGGCCACGTGCGCAGCAGCGCTCACGACTTCTGTAGAAAGGAGTCTGAGTGCGCTGTTCTGGCCTAGATTCCCCACCGTATGATGAGTTACGCTTACCTCAATTCACCTTCCTCAGCCCGGCTCGTGATTATGCCTTCTCCGCCTTCTCCCCAGTTTCAGATTAAACATGAGGTTGATCTTTGTCGTTCAAATGTTTTGGTTTTGAACCAGTCTTTCAAAATTTGAGTAATTTTTATTCCCTCAATTCTAATTAAAAATTTTAAATTTTAAAGTGGAATCGTATCAGGTAGGAAACAAGCCTGATATAGTTGGGCATGTCCACGTGATCAAAGAAACATTTTAAAATGCAAGTAATTAACTGTAGGGTACAAGATTATTTCCCAAATCTGGAATCTTTGAACAACGTTGTTAACAGTAATTTTTAAGTCGAGAGGTTCCACTCTGGAATTTTCCAGAGAACAGAAGTTTGTGTTTGATGATCTGAGCTTTATAATCCGCTACAAGACGGGAGCGGCTGTCCCATTTCCAGGATCCCTCCAGACTCCAGAGGAGCGGCAGCCTTGCCCCCACCGCCCGCCGCGCACCGCCCCCTGCGCACCACCGGCCCGGCCCGCACCCACGACCAAGCACCGCAGGCCCCGCACCCACGACCGCGCACCTCAGGCCCCGCACCCACGACCGCGCACCCACGACCGCGCACCGCCAGCCCCGCACCCACGACCGCGCACCCACGACCGCGCACCGCCAGCCCCGCACCCACGACCGCGCACCGCCGGGCCACACAATCCCCTGTAAGCTGAGCTGGGGCTCTCAGAGTCTGGGCCTTCCTGCCGCCCCTCCTCACTTTGCCACCGAAGGTAAGATTTTAACAAATCCCACCAGTTCTTTGGAAGTGAATGGATTGCTTTAAGCCTTCCAAGTCAGGTGAGAGAAGCGGGCAAGACAGGGGTGGGACAGTAGCTTAGACTTCGTGGTCCTGAGCCTGATTCACTGGCGCCTTTCATCCCTGGAGCTGAGACCTGTCCGAGTCCTTTGGTGAATAGTCTTACTTGTTCTAGTGGAAAGTTAAATGTCATTAATTTTTTTCCCCCTGCCCTCTAAATGTCACTAACTTCTTGGAGATACAGCAGCAAAGAAGAAATCGGTCTCAGCCACGCTTTAGTCACCGAAGGGTACCGAGTCGGCGGCTACCTACTGAAGCCCCTTCTGGGGCAGGGCCAGCGGTCAGGCCGCTTCCCAGGGGCCGGAGTCAGGGCCTGGCTCCCGCTTGTGTCAAACTACATTTTTCCCATTAAAGAAAAGACCGATTTTATCTAACTCCAGGCTGAGATGGCCTATGTGTTTTCCGAAGTTCTCGCTCTCTAGAGGCTCCACTGTCCTCTGAACTTGATACCTGGAGCCAAAGGATGGGCACTTCCAAAATCTAACCTTTTGAATATAAGCTTCCGAGTGGTACGAAGACTGGATGGTCTTCAGTCTCATATTTTGGGTTTACTTTATGCCTAAAGTTTGCAGGTCTTTCCATGATAAGCTCAGAATCTCCTAATTCTTGAATAAACTGTTGACAGTTTCCTTTAAGGAGGGGGAAAGATAAGTGGATTGTACTTCTCAAAGAAAGTGTTTTCTTTCTCTTTCAGGATTTGACTTTTGTTAACGTTTGACAGGGGGCCTGCACCGGGATCCAGAACGGCGCAAATGCCCCAGGCTATGTGTCAGCATTTACAGCTCAGGGGAGCTGGTGGCTTTCCTTGTAAGAGCTGGAGGTCAGTTCCCGCCCTCGGCCCCTGAGAAGAGCGGATTTTTGTATCGCACAGCAGTCTATATGCACTTAACGTAGAAATTTAAAAGTGAGCCATTTTATAAAAGAATCTCCCTGTAAAGAAGTATCTTATTTATAGATCTGGATTTTTAAAATTTTTAAAATTTATTCTTTTTAAGTGGGCTCCACGCCCAACACAGGGCTTGAACTCATGACCAGCCAGGCACCCCTTAAATCTGGATTTTTAGATACAAGCTCTTACTCATCTGGAAATGAGACATGGACACTGTGCCCTTCGAATCACAACATACAAACTAGAAGGGGAGCATCAAGACCATTTACATTATTCTGCAATATTAGCTTATACTCCGTGAAATAGGAAGTCTGGCATACCGGAGATGGTAGCTAGTCCCGAGCACGGGAATCAGGTGCCTTTGGCTAGCCGATCCTTCTCCCCACAAGATTCTATGGAAGTGAAATCGAGCTGACAATAAAGGCAAGCACAGTGCCATCTTACCATCAGGTGGGGATTCTGCCCCAAACCCCACGGCACACCTCAGTTGGCTTAGAGAGTCTCTTACCGCTCCCCAAGCCCAGACGTTGGAGGAGTCAGCACCACGGAGCTGGCCACCCCAGGCTAAGTTACCACTCCAGCCTTCCACAGCATCCCTTGGGATCCTTGGAACTCACTCACAGGAATAATCTAGTTCCATCAGGGCAGGCCACACCTGGAACACTCCATTTTACCACAGACAGAGGGGAACAAGTGACAAAGGGAGGGTGACCAGGAGAGGGAGAGCTCTTATGACTTCTCATTAGGAATGAAGGAAGCAGCTGGGAACAGGGAGGCTATTTTCAAATACTCTATGGGCCGTGCTGCCGAACAGAGGAGGGCTAGACCCGTTCCGAAGAGCTCCGGGAATAAGAGAGACCCCGGTAGCCAGCTCTGGCTCACTGTGGAGCTCAGATGGACCTGCCTGTCTCCTGAAGAAGCCTGCTCCCTATGGCCTGGCAGGGTTCCCAGGTGTCCTCGGCTCCCCTGCACAGGGCCCGGGAGGGGGCCTGCCGCGGTGGCTGGGGCGAACCTCTGTGAGACATTTCCCACAGCACACTCAGCAGCAGGTCATAGGGAGCGCTCCGTACACAATCACGATCGCCCGTGCTCAGTCCCGCCCAACGGATCAGCTTCTTCAGGGGATGGGGTTCAAGTGACACTGAGGTCTCTTCCATTCCCAAGATCCAGATTCTAGAATAAGGGGATAGTTTTTGAACACTATTTCTATTCATCTATTATTAATACATAGCAGGAAAACAAACTTCATATGCTTAGTTTTTATAAAAGTGACTACTTGATATTTCTTTTTATACTCCTTCTTTTAAAAGCATACAAACCTCAGAAGCCCATGAATATAATTTTGTGAAATAAAAATTAGAAACATTAATACAAATACAGCTTAGAATTGTATCATATCACTTAAGTAAACGATTATAGTATAGTATCACACTTCTTTCATTTTAAAGTAAGTTATAAATGGGCTTAAATTTTTTTTTTTAATTATTCAGAGGTAACCATGAGTCCTTCTCTTTCTCAGAAGAAAAAAACACAAGAGGTTTCTCTAATTTTAAGTGCATTTTGCGATTAAAGAAATATGGACGCATAAAGGGAATACACAGACGTAGATGGTTTGATAAATCCCAATGAGGACCAGCTAGTCAGTTATGTTCTTCTACTGGGCGATCTGGCAAAGTATCACTTTAATGGGTGATAACCCAGTGTTTCAAGCAATAAAGAAAAAGAAATAATCTAGTTTTAAATACTCGATGGCCATTTTTTATATAACTTAAACTTATTCAATACATTAAGTACATGTATTATTAAATAATTAATATTATTTAAATTGAGGAATATGTCACTGATCTTTAAGGAAAGCTCCAGAAGTCTTAGCAGTAGTTCCACACTTCCCCAGCAGGTGGCAGATTTCTTGTCATACTTTCCTCTTATTTTCCTAGAAGCCAGTGCTAGAGCTCATCATGAGTCACAACTGTAGGGGAGGAAAATGTATTTAGTTATTGAAATCTTAAATATCAAATTAGCTTATTAGCATATATCTCACCAAATTCAGAGATACAGAAAAAGCAGCACAGGTGCTGACTGAGGATCCTTTCATTTGTTTAGTACCTATTTGCTTCCTTATGTGAAATGCGATTAGTTCTTTGTACATTACGGTACTTATTATATTGTATCACAAGCACTCACATTTTACCACTTAGAGGGGAGTTCTCATGGGTCACAGGGACCACATCTTTTTTATCTCTGTTATCTCTAAAGCCTAGCACCCTGCCTGGCAATGGAAGCCTTGAAAAATACTGAGAGGTTACTCACCACGCACAAAGAGCCTATGGTTAACATAATGGAACAACAAAGAGCAGAAGCCATATGTGGTCCTCTTCTGAGATGGGAGAGACAAGACCACTCAAACACTGACAGAAGGTGACACAAATGTGAGGATCAGTACTAGCGAAGACTCTTAGACACCAAAATGGTTTCTTCTTCCGCATCACTGAGCTGTCACATACTGGTCTTAAAACTAACATATTTAGGGCGCCTGGGTGGCTCAGTTGGTTAAGCGACTGCCTTCGGCTCAGGTCATGATCCTGGAGTCCCGGGATCGAGTCCCGTGTCGGGCTCCCTGCTCGGCGGGGAGTCTGCTTCTCCCTCTGACCCTTCTCCCTCTCATGCTATCTCTCATATAAATAAAATCTTAAAAAAAAAAAACAAAAACTAACGTATTTAAAATGACATTTTCAAGCAGAAATGTATTAAAGTACGATTTAAATGCATCCTCTTCCATAATTCGAGATGTTAGACTATGTTTCTCTCTTCACTAAATTCCACTTGAGAGATAATAAAGAAATATAAAAGGGAGTAACAATGAGAATGGGGGAAGTGGTTATGAAACATCGTTGGAGCAGAGTTATGAATGAATTTCTAAAAATTGAAGACAGAACATGTAGCTGATACACGAGCATATGGCTGGGAAGAGGAGCTGATTTTCCCGACAGAGGAGGATCTCGTAACAGCAAACACTGGTGGGGCGTGAGTGAGAAGGTGAAGCAGTAACTGAAACACTGTCAGGAAAATCTGTGCCTCTCGGCTTCCCACTCTCATTCTGTCCTTACGTTTCACAGAGAACTGGTCCGGCTGTTTATTCCAAGACAAAAAGTAGAAGATGATTTTTGAAAACAAAAAAAAAAACAAAAACAAAAAACAAAACTGAACAATCTACTGAGAGACAGAGATTGATTTTCATATGAGTGTCAGTGCTATTGAATAAAATGCCCTCATTTTGGCTTTTGGCCAGGCTGGTGTGTAGCATGGCCTTTATCTGTTCCGTGCCCGTACATCCAGAGAAGTCTGTCAGTTCTGCACATGCTAATGCACCTAGAGTTATTCATTAACCCTCCCACTCAGGGAAGAAGCCTACTGGAAAAACAGACATTTTTACACAGAGGAAACGCTTGCCAGCTCTCTGTATTGATCAATCTAATCTTTTACTCTTAAAAATATAAAAATAGCCAAGGATCTCCAGGCATCTGAGGAAGACCAATAGCAAAAGAAAAAAGGACCAAGATGAACAATCAACATACCCAAAAGAAATAAAGGTAACAAAGAGAACCAAAGAGGTACTTAAGATAATTCTAATATTTTCCAGATTATTCTGAAAATGAAATTCGATGAAATCATAAAATAAGAAGACACTGAAATTCAAAGGCAGCAGAGAAAAAGATCTGCAAAAATTAAGATGGGATTGCCCCCTTCAAAAAAAAAATCAATAGAAGTAAAAAAAAAAAAAAAAATCCCCTGAACAGAGGGGAAAATTAGGAAATATAAAAAGAAAATATAACTACAGAAATACAAAGAACTGTAGAAGACTACTATGAACAATCATACACCAAGGAACTGGGACAACCTAGAAGAAATGAATAAATTCCTAAAAACATACAACTTACCATGAATATACTGATTCATGAAGAAACAGAATACCTAAACAAACCAATTACTAGTAAGGAGACTGAATGAGTAATCAAAACCTCCTGAGAAACAAAAGTCCAGGACCAGATGGCTTCACTGGTGAATTCTACCAAACATTTAAGGAATAATTAATACCAATCCTTCTTAAACTTTTCCAAACAATAGACAAGGAAGGAACACATCTGAACTCATTTTATAAGGCCAGCATTAACTTGATCCCCAAACCAGAAAAGGACACTACAAGAAAAGAAAATTACGGACCAATATTCCTGATAAACAAAGATGGAAAAATCCTCAACAAAGTATTAGCAAACCAGATTTAACAATACACTAAAAGGATCACACACCGTAATCAAGTGGGCTTTTTCCTAGAGATGCAAGGATGGTTCCACATCCACAAATCAACCAACACGACACACCACATCGACAAAACGAAGGATACAAATATGATCATCTCAATGGATGCAGAAAAAGCATTTGAAAAAACTCAACATCCATTTATGATAAAAACTCTCAACTAAGTGGATATAGAGGGGACTCTACCTCAACATAATAAAGGCCATATATGACAAGTCCACAGATAACATCATACTCAATGGCAAAAAGCTAAAAGTTTTTCCCCTCAGATCATGAACAAGATAAGAATGCCTACCCACGCCACTTTTATTCAACATAGTATTGGAAGTACTAGCCATAGCAATTAGGGAAGAAAGAAAGGCATCCATGTTGAAAAGAAGTAAACTGTCGCTATTTGCAGATGACGTGATATTATATATAGGAAACCCTAAAGATTCCACCAAAAAACTATTTATTACTATAAATGAGAATTCAGTGTGATCACAGAAATAAAAATTCATATGCAGAAAATAGTCTTTCTATGTACAAGTAACCACCAGTAAGAAGATACATTGTAAGAGAAAATCCCATTCATAAATAGTAACAAAAAGATTAAATACCTAGGAACAAACTTAAAAAGATACGTATAAAGCTTAGATGATTAAAATGTTATGATTCTTGACAAACATAAAACTGAACCTGAACATAAAGAAAGATACAACACATGCTTAAATGGGAAGAACAGTTTTCATGAAGATGTCAATACTCCCTAACCTAATTAATAAATTAATAACAGTAGTGCATTAAAATAAATTTAATAAATAAATTTAATAAATTTAATGTAATCTTCCCTCCAGCACCCTCACCCCCCAAAAAAACCCTGAAAAATTTTGACCTAGATAAGATGATTCTAAAGCTTATATGGAAAAATGAACAGGAGTACCAGGAAAACAACAACAACAAAGTAGCAATGAGGGGAGAGAAGCCCTACTCAATATTAAAACATGCTCTAAATCTTCAAAAAGGAGTGTGAAATAGGCACATGTATAGACAGAGATCAATGGAACAGGATAAAAAATGTGCCAAATGAGACATAAATAATACAGGAATTTAGTATACGATAAAGGTGGCAACACAAATCTCTGGAATAAAGATCATTAATTTTTTTCCAGTGTTGGACAACAATCCTCTAGAAAAAAATGAGCAAAGGAAAAGAATAAACAGTTGGAAAACAGAAGAAATTACAAATGGCCCTTAAACATATGACAATAGCCTCAACTCCATTCATGTTATGGGTTGAACTGTTTCCCTCCAAAATTCATATGGTGGAATCCTAACTTGCAGGACTTCAGAATGTGACCTTATTTGGAAATAGAGTCTTTACAGAGGGAATGAAGTTAAAATGACGCCATTAGGGTACACCCTAATCCAACATGACTGGTGTCCTTGTTGAATGAAGAAATCTGCACACAGACATATAGAGAGAGAAGACAAGGTAAAGGGAGCCAGAGAGAAAATGGCCACCTACAAGTCAAGAAGAAGGCCTGGGACAGGTCCTCCCTCACTGCCCTCAAAAGGAACCAACCCTAATGACACCCGGATCTTGGACTTCAAGTTACCAGAACCGTGAGACAAATAACTTCTTTTGTTTAAGCCACCTAGACTGCGGTACTGTGTTAGAGCAACCCCAGAAAACTAATACAGCTTGCAATAAGAGAAATGCAAAAGTTATAAAATATATACCATAGCCTTAAAAATGATTGCCTCTTTGTGTTTGAGTAAAAGACGTCTTCCAACTTTATCCTATATACTTCCATGTTGTTTTAATATTTATAACATATCTTACATTTGTAATTCAAAATTAAGTAAAAAATTCAATAATCTTTCATAAAGCTTATTTTTTAATCTCTTATTTTTATACAAATACATATGTAAACATATACAAACACACCATTTTTCTTTATGATGGGGTCAATCATATTACAAATATTATTCTATATTTTTAACTTAAAATATGCTGTCAGCAAAACACATTTATCTCAATTCTCTTGAAAGGCTATGCTATATTTCATTGTTTGTATGTAATGATGTTTATATAATCAATAGTCTATTAATGGATAAATTATTTCTTATTTCTTGCAGGGCTTGAACTCATGACCCTGAGATCAAGACCTGAGCTGAGTAGATCAAGAGCTGGATGTTTAACCAACTGAGCCACCCAGGTGCTCCACTGGATAAATTATTTCTATCTCATTAAAAACAATGGTAACAATCATACGTATACATATATCTTTTCTTTTTCTTTTTTCTTTTTTTAAAGATTTATTTGAATGAGAGAGAGAGAGAGAGTGTGTATCTGTGTGTGGGGGGAGGGGCAGAGGGAGAGGAGGAGAGAGAATCTCAAGCAGACTCCTCACTGAGCATGATAGCCCTATGTGGGGCTTGATCCTGCGGCCCTGAGATCATGACCTGAGCTGAAACTAAGAGTCGGCCTAACCGGCTGAGCCACTCAGGCACCCCATCATTTCTCTTTTTTAAATGTAAATTTGTTAAAGTGAATTGCTGGGTCAAAGGGCACACATATTTTAAATTTTTATACATACCGTAATATTTCCTTAATTTATACAGCTACTGTATGTATGAGTACATGAGAGTGCTCACTTGTCAATACCCTTGCTAAAACTGGATATTATTAATCCTTTTAACTCTTTCCAATATGATAAGAGAAACATTTCATCTCATGTTCTGTGCATTAAAAATTTTTGACGTAATTATGTAAAATTTCATTTTTCTCTTCCTTTTACTTTCTTCCTTTTCTCCCCCTTCTCTGTCTTATCTCTTTCCCTTCAAAACAGTTATATCACACCACTTACAGAATCTTCTTCTGGGGCGCCTGGGTGGCTCAGTTGGTTAAGTGACTGCCTTCGGCTCAGGTCATGATCCTGGAGTCCGGGGATCGAGCCCCGCATCGGGCTCCCTGCTCGGCGGGGAGCCTGCTTCTCCCTCTGACCCTCCCCCCTCTCATGTGCTCTCTGTCTCTCTCATTCTCTCTGCCTCAAATAAATAAATAAAATCTTAAAAAAAAAAAAGAATCTTCTTCTGCACTGAAATGGTGTCTTAATTATTTAATTTATTAATTAAAAATACATGTGTGTTTTATTTTTTAAAAAAGATTTTATTTCTTTTTTGACACAGAGAGACTGCGAGAGAGGGAACACAAGCAGGGGGAGCGGCAGAGGGAGAAGCAGGCTTTCTGCCAAGCAGGGAGCCCGATGCGGGGCTAGATCCCAGGACCCTGGGATCATGACCTGAGCCGAACGCAGATGCTTAAGGACTGAGCCACCCAGGTGCCCCCGTGAGTGTTTTAAATACTGAACTTCTCAGAAAATAACCACACTAGTTTTGTTAAGGAATACAGAAAGTCAAGATGAAACAATTTCATGCTTATGTGAGAAAGTTTATATATATATAACATTTTTATGTTTATATTTAACATTTGAACTTCTTGAAAAAATAAAGCTGAGGAAATTAAGAATTTTATTCTGAACCACTGGAAAGAATTATTGTTAAGGATTAATATAACCTGTGAAAGTCTCTAACACGGACTAGAGCTCAGTGCTATTTTTAAAAAAGAGTAAAGAAAAACAGAATTAGGCACTGATGAGGAAAGAATTACGAGGCAATCAAGAAGTTTATATCAGCTTTAAAGGCATATTCAACACTTATTTGTTGAAGGTTTATGCTGAGCGAAGAAATGCTCAGGTAACCACAGTTTAATCTTGGAAATGGAAGCACATCGAAACCGAGTCATGCTCCAGCCCTAAGGCTGCGAGAATCAGGAACACACGGGAAATCCCTATGCTGTAGGAGATTCGTCTAGGAGATAGGAGGTAATATTTCTAGTTACTATGTAAGTCTTTTACTAAATCTCAGGGCTTGGATTTTACCTTTTGGGAAATTTGATATAATCTTAAAGACAAACATTTTTTCTTTTTTTACCGCTGTGTCAGGAGGCTAATGCCACAGCACCCGGATCTGTGGTGACATGAACTGAAGTTCTATCCATGGGGGAAGAGATTCTCTATCCATGTTTTTTTTTTAAAGGTTTATTTATTTATTTATTTGACAGATAGAGACACAGCAAGAGAGGGAACACAAGCAGGGGGAGTGGGAGAGGGAGAAGCAGGCTTCCTGCAGAGCAGGGAGCCCGATGCGGGGCTCGATCC